CTAAGCCCTTCGGCCTCGTAAACGCTTAACCTTTACATCACGGAGTCGGCATCTAACGGCGTTACTGTCTATCTTAAACCAATCGAAGATGTTGCACGATCATCTGCCATTGTTGATTTCAATGAAATCCAATAATCTCCACAACTCCAAAGTGAAGATTTCGTTAATATTTGATAACTTTATAATGTAGTGATTTTCCATAAATTTCAAGGCGCTCTCGATTATATGTATGTATAGCTGCCGTGTCGACCATTTAAATTACTGAACTCATCGGTTATGAGAAAGAAGTACTATCCAACATTTGTTTTTGTTAAGGGAAATTTCTTGTACAAGACGACAATGTTTCTGATATTTTTGGGACGGGTTGACGCTGTTGTATACAACTTTAGTGTGGTGTTTGAATGAACTAATGGTACCTTTGTACTTGTTGAATGCTCAATATCGAATTCCAAATACAATACATTCGTTTGTGCTTGTGTCGTAGTTCTTGATTCAGTTGCGTTAATTCTGGGATTCCTAGTTCATACGATAATTCAAATACTTTGAAATATTACATTTAGTTATTTATTTTTATTGCTCTTTTGTAATATCCTAAATTTCTGGCATTTTTCTATTATTTGTTACTTTTTCCTACGGTATACAACGGGTCATCGATTTAATTATTTCCAAATATTGGAAGGATGAAGATTTAAGCAGAATAATATGAATTCGTTTGGTTCTTGTCAGCTGCTCACAACCCACAGCATCTTAAATTCGACATCATGAAAGTTAGCATATCTAGACTTAAATATGTATAACCGTGATGGAGTTAGGTGGTGTAGCGGTGTTTAGGTCTTCAACTTTCATTTGTTAAACCAAGATAAGTTATACTACCTGGCTTCTAATACAAAATTATTGCAGTCGAGCTCATAACTCGGACTTAATACTGGAAGTCGTTTCCTAAAACACCAGCAAGGATCCAACTACTTAAAAGGTTTTCGAACTGCTGTTGAGTGCCTCTCTACCACAGATATATATATCAAGAGATACTCTCCGTCACATTAGTTTTTTGCTGTAACTCCCATTGTCACAGGCTCATTCACTCAATCTTTCTTTAAATTCTGAACGTAGTGATTGATGCCTAACACTAGGTTCAAATAAAAATTACAGCTAGAGCGAAATTCGCAGCACAATGTGGTTTTTCAAATAAAAAAAATACATAATATGACAAATTTAATGAATACATGAACGTAAATATGACCGTTATTCAGCTTGTGGATACATAGGTTTACTTGACAAGTTTGAATGTAAATTCACTCCTGCAGAATTCTTGTGTTTCAAAATTTCGGATACAGTCACACCGATAAAACATTACTGAAAACCATTTAGATATCGCACTCAGTCAAGGTTGACAAATAAACATTTGTTCTTCCCTGTGAATCCTTTCGCTCACTACCACCTGTAAATACAATCGAGTCTTTATCAAGTTGTTCTTGTAACGCTTTCAATAAAAAAACTTTAGAAGGAAGGACCTATCTTTTTACTATATTCATGTTGTACACATTCAATCAAAATAAATCAGAATAAAGCAAGTTGGAACTGACTATGTCAACTGCAGACTATCAGGAACAAAGTAAAAACGTAGACTCGACTGTGACTATCAACACGGGAAACACCGTGGGTTGGTTACTTGTCCATTCACATAAGATTTATTCAAACAAATAGGACAAGAAGGTTCACAAGTTTCGAACCGAAAGTACAAACAAGCTACACAGAACACTGATAGCTCATAGAGTAAAATGAATAGGGTGAGTGAACCAAGTAATGCTAATAATATTCATTTAAAAGGAATATCTAAAACATGGGTATTCTCTGCAATTAGAGACCAAGGAGAGGGATTTTGTTTGCTCCACAATGACAAAACACAGGGATGGAGCAGCTTGTGCCCACGATTATATATGTCTCATCAGCAAACGCAAACATCTAAGTATCAAGTCACAATTAGTGGATTGGCTTACTTTATATCTAGATAGTAGATAAATTTCGTTCGTTCCAGGGGTACCGATTGTTATTGTGGGGTATCTTATGGTTCAGTATTAGGACCTCTTCTTCTCTTAGTTCATATAAATGACTATCTTTGGAAAGTGTCATCTGGTTTGTTGCTTTTCGCCAACGATTTGAAACTTGGGAGAGAAGTTGGCAACCGAGTTGAAAAATTGGCATTTTAGGAGGATCGTGCTCGGATTCAAAGTTGAGCGAATAATAATGAACTTGCTTTTAACATTTCGGATTGCAATGTAGTCCAACTGAGATACGTTGTGGACTATGTTCATGTTTAGAGACATCTCAAATTGTAAGGGATATAGGAATTTCGGCACTGTGTGATCTGAAATCTAATGCTAATCGTGGCAAAAATACCTTCCGAACAAACTTTGTATTGGTGAACATGAGGCTCATTTTTGCCCAGTTCAACGGTAGGACTTTCGATGTAATCTTTAATAACCTAGTTTGACCCCTTTTAGAGTATGGAAATATAGTGTTTCCTCCCTCACTCCAAGAGAGAAATAAATCACTGAAGCATACTTTAATATGAGCCATGAAATCAGTTTGTGGACTCAAATTTAAGACATTTGAAGCGAGCCTCGAATCACTGTATCTCTACCTATAAGAGCATAGATTACCTTGTATTCTAAATGCAATTCACAGCGGAACCACTCAGACTATGAGCACATTCTTTACTCGTTACAATTATTCGAATTCTGGAATCCGATGACGTTTGATGTGGTTTGTTGGACATTTTGGGAGTCGTTTGCTAGGAAATGAGACATAGTTTTATGGAAAAAGGAAGATTCGTCACTGTGATTTGCTAATATTTTTCGAATTAAAGTTGGGTATATCTAGATTACCACCTGGAGGTATCGGCTATCCACTGCTACTAGATACGGAGGGATGTTCATCAAAAGCTTCTTCTGTTCCGTCTAGAATTGTTCGAACGTTTCGGACTGATTTAAAAGTTATTGAAGGACGTGTAGTTTTAACGGTCTTAACCACACAATTTTCAAGGCTGAACATGAAATAACTGGGAAAATAGAATTTTAACATGTAACACTGACAGAAAAAAGAGTAGTGAACGCGGGAGCATTAGTAAAATCTCATGGCATGGCTCAGCTTTGCAGGAGTAGTCATTCTTGTGTCGCCTATCCATTTTAATCTCATTAAATATATTGTTCCATCTACGGCCTAAAAGTGTTACGCAGAAACACTAAACGTACCATGCGACGAGTCAGTGTAGACAACTATGGATCTTCTGCATATGATCTTCGGATTAAGTTTTAACATCATGACATACCTACAATACTAGGATTAGGTCCCTTACTATAATACTATTATTAACGGAGTAGGCCACAACTGTACTACATCTATATAGCCTCTTGCTACCTCTCAAACCATAATGAAAACTATTGCTCCTCAGGTTATTTAAAAACTAAGATAAAGTTCAAATCAAGATATTCATGACGTATCAACAATAGTGTCACGACTAATAACCAACCATATATGTAGCAGCAGATAAATCTGGAAAACAAATAGTTCATTATGTCTTCGAAATTGATGCTGACGTCATTAGTTTTAGTGGAAACATCTTATCTGAAGGCACACAGCCACGCATCCACTCCAGGTAACGAGTGGATATTTCGTGTTGATGGTGTCACAGGTATTCAGTGTTTCGTGTTGGGAAAATTGCAGGGTTTTCTGCAATTTCTGGAAAACTTTCCATACTGGTTATGATACCAGCACCAGTCGGGGTCATCTGTCTCTCGTGGTCTAGAGACAGATCGCTTACGAGAAATGCTTCTACGTGGCGTGCGCGATCTCTTACGGTCGGTACGAAGACTAAGATAACGCGTGAGTGTGTGACATAAGTCGTTTATATCATTCTGAGTCGTTTGAGGTTTTTCTTTGACTGAAAATACCTCGGTAGTAGAAGGTTTCGTAATTTCTAAAATGCGGTCGGCAGATGCAGCTAGTTCGTCTAAGGCGTTGTTCTGGAACGAGACCAGAACTGCTTGCACCTGTTGGGGAAGTTTTGACAAGAAGAGTTGTTTGAATAGACCTTCGTCGAAAGTTCATGGGCCTATAACCTCTCTCATCCTTTGCAACATGTCTGTCGCAGAACCGTGTTGCAGGTCGATATTGTTGAAGAGTTGATCTAACCTTTGTCGATCGGTTAGGTCTCCTCGTTTAAGAATCGAGCGTTTTAAGATTTCGTAAGGATCGGAAACATCACTAGTAAACATACTAGGTGTTACGCACCTGTTGAATTCGCGCGGTAGTGCCTTGACTAGTGCGAGGAATTGTGCACGTGTGTCGATCACGCCGTGCTCGTAGAAGTCGGCTTCTGCGTAGCAAAACCAGGCTTCGATGTTGTCGGGCCAGAAAGGCATCAGTTGAAACGAAGGCGGGGACAAAGTCTTAAGCTTGAGTACTTTAGGTGTCTGTTCAGTCATGATGAAGTATGAAGTACGATAATGAACGAGGGGAAAAAATATATATCCAAGAAAAAACACGAAAAAAATCACAATGTTTAAAAAAAATAAAAAATAAGGCAATGATATATAAAAATCCCAAAAAGGAACAGACTCACAGTTGCAATAAGGTGTACCGGATCACGTCGGTCTCACCAATGATGATGTCACAGGTATTCAGTGTTTGACAACGCTTTTACCAGTAACACCTTCTAATATATTTCGTTCCCACCCAGAGAAATCAAAAGACAGAGTCGAAGAGATCGGAAGAGTATATTTAGCGATGACCAATATATCGGAATTCTCTGATCTAATCTGGCTAGCGATTGTGGTTGATGTTGAGCACGGCGTTACCACACGTGATCTGGTGCGGATGCCTGACCGAGCGCCTTCAGCTAGATGAGTCCACTAAAACATATGGTCAGCATCCAGTGTCGAAAACTTACAGTGCTATTTATTTTGGGGATTTATTTACCGCTACAGTTTCAAGCCCTACTCGTAACTGGCAGCAATCTTAAATTAAACGCTTCTAGACATATCGATGGCTTTTTAAATAAAACTTCGAACCCCGTCATTTCTGACTTTACATCTGACTGCGTTGGTACACAATGATTACACTAATACAACTAAGGTTGTGAGGATATATAAAAACTCTACTATCCCGTGATGCATGATCCTGAACCCTTTATTGGAATTTAAACAGATGCCTTGTCAAGGAAATATGTAGAGAACTAAGTTAATTTTCTTTAATTGGCATTATCAAATTACGAATAATTGGACATCCGATTTTGTTTTAGTTCTTAGATCATAAAATTTATCAAAACTCAAAACTGTAATTTATTTACGCACACTTAAGCTATGTATTGCTTAATTCTGTGCAAAGAGACTTTCGGATCGGGGAACTTGAGTACTGCTTTATACATAAGGTAATTAAGATCTAATTTTCTGCTTACTATATATATGTTTTAGGGAGATCTTCGAACTATATTTAGAAGCTGAATTCATAAAAATTGTTAACATCAACTGTGAAAGTTCTTTGAAAGACATAGACAACTTTAATCGATCAACTGCAAACCCTAAATTAGTGATTGCCCTTCATTTACGTCAATGCTCACATCTTGTCAGTCGTAAGTTTCTCTTGTTTTTTTTTCAACTACGATCATAATTCTCATTACTATGTAGGCTTAAAATCTAGTAATATACAAAGTGTGACGCAATATATAATGTGAAAGAGTATTTTTGCATTGTGTAAAGACTCGTGAACCATGAAAGGCCTTTGGAATCGGTTCACCGTCTACACTGTTACAACCTGTCACTTGTCTTCCTAGTACCGTTTAGTATTTAGAAAGTTTCTGTATACTTTATAAATGAATGACACACTTTGGTCTATGATTCTTCTGAATAGGTGCTTGACATTATAAAAAGCTGAAAGCTATTTAGTTTACTTGTGTATTCCATCTATTTAGAGTATTATCATTCATTTGATAAAAAAGTCTCTAAATATGTGGAATGTTTTCACTAGTCTTACCAATAGAAATCTTTTGAACAATAAGACGTTTGTAAGCTGGATATACAGAAATTCTTACTGTCTACCAGTCATGAATAAGTGATCTATCTTAAAAGATCCTTCAAGCAATTATCAATCTGATGTGAAATAATTGGTTCCGAACTTTCATAGTCTCTTTATATGAAGCTATATGTTTCTCATTTTAAGACGGAGATAAGCAAAAGTCACTTTGGATTCAAAATCATTATTTGGCATTTTGAAGCTGTTACTTAGATCACTTGGCAACATGCGTATCAAAATTGAAAAGACTCTTTTGTCTTGGTTTACTTGTATAATACTTCATGTATTTACGAATCCAACTTTGTTACCACTGCTTAAATCCTCTTCTGTAGTTGGAGTCTTTGTAACGGCCATCATTTAGTCAAATGAAATAGTACAACATACTCAGGATGGTTTAATCAGCTACACAATATTCAGATAGCTATTCTATCATTTATATTTCCTTAAACACTTTTTAGCCGTTTTAGAACACCATATAGGCGCTATTTATGCCTTAAATGCAACTTGAATATAATGTCCTTCAAATCGTAATCATGAGTTATCCTAACTTACGATGACTTTGTGAGAGACTTCACCAAGTTCCAAAATTTTTCTGACCAAACACAGAGATCTTGTTAGCATCCTTATTTCTGAGTAATAAGTCACTGTATGAAGACGATCAACGAACAAGATTCTATGTCCAAATTAATCAAATCACATACGCATTTATGTTGGATTCGTTTACACCATAGATCATTACCAGATATGACTTTAAGCTTATTCTGAGACAATGAAGTTTTTTATCAAGATTGTCCTATGAATGGTCATTTTGACTGGGGAAATAAAAAATCAATAAGCCGTCAAAAATGCTTGTTAATCGTGCGTCTTAATGGTTGTAGAAGGTATGAGAGCAATTTTTTGAAAGTATTTAAAGCCTATAGATTATTGCTATATTTACGTAACTTATAGCAAATAAGTGAAACGTAGTACGCAATAAACGTTTTTTGAGGCGGAGTAGTTGCCGAGGACTTTATTGAGTATAAAATTAATAGTCAAATTTATATTCAAACAATCCAAAAATGGTTGCCCAACCTACCTTGAAAAGCAGTCTAGAACCTGAGCACTTCCATCAATTAGACTAAAATGTCAACAACGTCTTATATTAATTAAAAAATGGAACGAATAATACTTGATTGAGTGTTATACATTGCTTTTTCAACAAGCTATAATATTGTCCAATCGAACTTGTCTATCAAACTCAGAAGTTTTAAATTTTCTCAATATTGCATTGTTTGCGTTTAATATTAGACAGTAACTAAGTGATTATTGGTTCATTAAGTTTCTAACAGTTAGTAAACCAGAGCATTAAAATTTAGAAAAAGGTCGAAATTAGTAGTGCTGTTTATTTTGCACTTGTAAACTCATCATGCATACTTCGGATGACGGGTAAAAGATTCGCCAATAAAAATCTCATTTTTACTGAAAATCTAGATTCTTTTATTTATTACTTTACATTTCTTTCATTCACTCTGGACCGTCCTATAAATGTTTTGATATCATATTCCATAAGGTTGTTAGGAAACTAATAAACATCTTAGACCGTGGAGATACGATATTTACTTATTGCTTTGATAATTTCTATGCTAAAGTTTGATGGTGCTTACAAGACATGTATTTTTCGTGTGAATTCAACCTACTCATAGATCAGTTGAAAAGTTATCCGCGAGACAACCTTGAAACATTCCCATCAAGCATTTTCTGAATACAGAATGTTTTCATCAAAACACACTCAAGATCGCTTTGACTTACCTCGTCGTTAAGTAGTGCCGTTGCATTCTCGCATCTCATTTTTCAATCTCATGAAAATTTGATTAACCACGGAGTAGTGGTCAGTATCATGTTCTAGTTTTTTAGGGCTGAATAAATGTAATTGACGTTGTTGCAATGTGTTCACTAGCCTAAGTAACTTATCATGGAGTGGAATATATTTAAATGTTAATTGATTAGTGACCGTCGACAGAAAACAGTGTGCATAGGTTTTAGTCAGTCATGCCTCGAATAACTTAATGGTAACATTTCAGATTGTGAAGATGTTTGGGCAACTTTGAGTCTGCTATTGAGCATCAGCTCTCACAAAGTTAGAAATACTCGCTGCTGAAGACGAGTTCTAGTCGCATCGCGATTTCTATCGGTTTTAACCATAATGCATAAAATCATTTAAGCTTTAAATAACCACTAAACTATTGTCAACCATGACGAACCTAAATTCTTTGCAAAAAATAAGTATGTTTAAAAGGATACTGCATTTATAAAATCTGGATTTTATACAATAGGTTCAGTTATTAGTAGGTTCTGTAGAAACTTAATTAAAATCAATTCTTGAAGAAAAGCAAAAATATAGGTTGATTTTGGTCTTTTCTAAACTATAATTTAGCGTTACATTTCAGGTAACATGTATAAAGTACCTATTTTGTAATCTGACTTTGAAAATGTAAAAACATCAGTAAATTATTTCGTGGTTTTGAGTGCCTCTGTAGCAAAGTTTATTATTTTGGAAAACTCATCATTGGTGTTTCTTGTTTTCAAGCTTACGCTAGTTGTTGGATATTATTTGTGAATGCTGGAAAATGGCAAATGTTTACCTTGTGGTTAATTTTTATATTGAAGATGCAAGAATAATCAAAATCATTATTTATATATATTTCGTAATTTACTTACCTTTTTCATTGTTTTGAAGTGCTAGACAAAAGTATACCTGTTCTTGCAATCTGCACTGGGTCTGACATAAATATGGATAGAACTCATGCGGTATATTTAAAGCTGATGACATATTTAGTTGACCGAAGTTTGTAAGTATAATTTCTCTGCATGCGTTATCCGTTTAACTGATTTTCCACCTTAGTGCAGTTGTTTTACTTAACCGACCAATGTTGAAGCAGTTTAAAGAAACTTGGGTAAGTAAATAAGTTGCTATTATTTGACAGTAACACAGTTTATTAAAAAGCCGGTTCGTACAAGTTATAGAATAACATCATCTTGACATATTAAATAAAGTTTATGTATATATTCGTAAGGAAGAAACGTGTTTTGTTTGCCCTTAAGTGCCTTGACAACATTTCCGATTTCAGTTGTTAGTTACTTTTGGAAAAAGGTAAATTATTAAGTTTGGTATATATGGTACTATTTAATAGAAACAATTTTGATGTATAATTAGTTATTTTGTCATCCATTGTTTACATATATTAGAAGAAAGATTGTTCCAAACATTAAACCATTTATAACACAAGATCCCACAAATAAATATAGCATTGGTTTGTTACGAAATACATTGGAGATATGATGCAAAGTGACTCCATATTGATAACTCACTTTATTTTTTCGAACAGTTGACCTGAAATTTCAAGAGTTTAATAATTTTTATTCATCAAAAGTCAATATTTTTGGGCGCCATAAAGCCACTTATAAAAGCGCCGAGCAGATTTTTACTTGAAATGATATTTAATAAGTTTTACTTCGAAAATACAATTTCTTGAACATATTTGATATTTAGTATACACCAACTGTTTAACAGGTTTGAATAATTTGATCAAAATACCGAAGAATGGCAATCTCAGCAACTGTGATAACTACAGGGGTATCACTCTTCTCTCAATACCGGGAGAAGTCTCCAACAGGGTATTGTTAAACAGGATGAAGGACTCCGTAGACGCCCAACTTCGTGACCAACAGGCAGGATTTCGTAAAAGTAGATCGTGTACAGACCAAATCGCAACTCTACGGATCATTGTGGAACAATCAATTGAATGGAATTCATCACTCTACATCAACTTCATTGACTACGAAAAGGCATTTGATAGCGTGGACAGAACAACACTATGGAAGCTTCTTCGACACTACGGCGTGCCTCAGAAGATAGTCAATATCATACAGAACTCATATGATGGATTACACTGCAAAAATTGTGCATGGAGGACAGTTGACAAAGTCGTTCGAAGTGAAGACCGGTGTCAGGCAAGGTTGCTTACTCTCACCCTTTCTCTTCCTCCTGGTGAACGACTGGATCATGAAGACGTCAACGTCTGAAGGGAAGCACGGGATACAATGGACATCTAGGATGCAGCTGGACGATCTAGACTTCGCAGATGATCTGGTCCTTCTATCCCAAACGCAACAACAAATGCAGAAGACGAACAGTGTGGCAGCAGCCTCAGCAGCAATAGGTCTCAATATACACAAAGGGAAAAGCAGGATTCTCCGATACAACACAGAATGCACCAACCCAATCACAATTGACGGAGAAGATTTGGAAGATGTAAAAACCTTTACGTATTTAAGCAGCATCATTGACGAACAGGGTGGATCTGATGCAGATGTGAAGGTGCGGATCGGCAAAGCAAGAGCAGCATATTTACAACTGAGGAACATCTGGAACTCAAAGCAACTGTCAACCAACACCAAGGTCAGGATTTTCAATACAAATGTCAAGACAGTTCTACTATATGGGGCAGAAACCTGGAGAACTACGAAAGTCATCATCCAGAAGATACAGGTGTTTATTAACAATTGTCTACGCAAAATACTTCGGATCCGTTGGCCGGACACTATTAGCAACAACGTACTGTGGGAGAGAACAAACCAGATCCCAGCGGAGGAAGAAATCAGGAAGAAGCGCTGGAAGTGGATAGGACACACATTGAGGAAAGCACCCAACTGCGTCACAAGACAAGCCCTCACATGGAATCCTCAAGGCCAAAGGAAAAGAGGAAGACCAAAGAACACGTTACGCCGAGAAATGGAGATAGACATGAGAAAAATGAACAAGAATTGGATGGAACTAGAAAAGAAGGCCCAGGACAGAGTGGGTTGGAGAATGCTGGTCAGCGGCCTATGCTCCATTGGGAGTAACAGGCGTAAATAAGTAAGTAAGTAACTGTTTAACAGCGCAGAACCTCCATCTTAGGAAGGCAATTTTTAGCAATAAAACTGAATTCCCAATCTCAATGTATCTTACCTCAGTCCTGTTTTATTTTAACCAAGGACGTCTCAGGACACTTGATTTTTACGACGAGCTTCAGTAAAGTGATAACCATTCAAATCCTTCGTAGACTAAAGTTCTCAGCTGGCTTCTTCTCTCTTGATTTCTTTCAGTGTGGGGTTGAAGAATTTGCATACATATTTACTTGGTAGTAACTGTGTGCTGGATGAACTCGCTAATATGTACATCAATTGTGAATAACTTATCCATGATACCTGATGATTCTGTTCCAATGAACAATTTTAGTCCCAAAAATTCAACTTACTTGGGTTGTAAATGCAAATCTGAGAGTTATGTTAATACATTATCGTAGCTATGACAAATGAGTCATCCCCTAAGAGCCATTAGTAATTAATACGGTATTACGGTGTTGTATACCAAACAAAGAATCTATCACTAAATTCAATTTCATCACAACGACCAATATTTCGTATTAAGAATGACATATGTCATTGGGGCAAGTTAAATATACTAAGTTTATCAACTTTACAGTTCACGAAGTGCCATATTTAATGTCACAACGCATCAACTTGATTCTGTTTAGCGACTTCTCGTTTTTATTGACATTCTGTTTCGTAACTATCTATCTTCCTTTGCCGTTATACCTGCGATGATTCGTTTGGCTCACACTTATCTTGGCCAATATTGCGTACTTCTACAAAACATCTTATTTTACACTACTTATGTTCATGTTATTGAGATCAATTTAACTGATAATCTAGCATTAGAATAATTATTTTCTATGTAATTTCTCAATACTTCTATATCTTAAAAGCTATAAGTGAGAAAAATCAACAACCCGATCGTTTCACTTTGTATCAGTTAGTACAGTTTATGTTCACTTTTAGCACTGAATACCACTTTCTTCACGAACAAATATAATGTTACTCATATGATAAGCAGTTTGATTTTACAATATACTTCAAGCATGTCATCCTTAGTTAGTTTAGACTAATTATTAACTCGTCTGAGTTAATATAATCTTCTGAAATAATATAAAACTGAAGGAAATAACTGATATAGCTTAATTTTAATTTATCAGTATTGTAACTTACATTCTACTCGTGTTCAAAGCTTAACCAAGAATTATATGTAAATGTAACTAAACTTCTCAACGAAATTCGATGAATCATTCGGTATCCAGAAGCTAAATATTTTTAAGTTACTATTTTTATCTTTTCAAATTCCTGGAAACATTGCATAAATATAATACAGCGTTATTCTATCCTCACCCTGATCATTTTTTTGTTTGCTCTAATATTGCCGAAATTTTTGAATGTTTGTGTTAAAATTTGATTAGATACTTGTAAATGCAATTAGATATTCAGCAGCTCATATGTCATAGACATAATAAATGTTGCTAAATTCTTAATCAATTCGAAATATAAATAAATAGCATATAGAACTTATCACACGTTCACAGATATGTATTTTTTTATAATTTACATTAAAAAATCTCTCCGTTTTTCCTTCTTAAACAAAATGTTTAGCCTCATTATCCTGGTCAGCTGCAAGTCATACACCAAGGTAAGCATATACCAATATATATATATATATATATATATATATATATATATATATATATATATATATATATATATATATATATAGAGAGAGAGAGAGAGAGAGAGAGAGAGAGAACGCTCGATTTTGCCTGATGATTGCTATCATTTACCTGGTTAATGTATTTAAAAAACCGACTTCCAACACTGAATTTACAGTATAAAGTTATGGAGATTATTAAGTTATTGATTGAGATCATGAACCGATTGATGTTAAACCTTCATTGAAAACCTGGAAGCGTTGAACGGCCGTTCCATCCTATTGTGGGACTCCTCAGTAGTGCGCTTTGTGAGAAAATTGTCGGAGTTCTAGTGAGAAGCCGTGACGAGTGAATCTAATCCGTGTCGAGTAGAGACAGGTATCTACTTCAGTACAATGGAAGATGGTCGTGCAATCTCGTGGATTGGTTGACGCTAGACATTAGCACCGCGAGTGGTATCGTGGATGAGCGCTGCTGACGAGTCCCACAATGAGATGAAACGGCCGTCCAGTGCTTCCAGGTTTTCAATGGTGGTCCAACATAAATCGGTTCATGATCTCAATCAATAACTGAATTTACACTTTAAATTATTTTGAGCTGTCTTTTTGCGGTCATTTTGTTTTTATTTCCGCTCAACAGCCTAACTGTTATTATCACTAGTCAACGTTATGTTCATTGGTAAATGAATAATAATAATAGAGAACATACTTCTTCAATCATTTTATGTCGTCACTTTTAAAGCTTACTAAGGAAACTTCATATAAGCGTTAGTTACCAATCTAATTAATATCAGAATACAACCACTGTATGTAAATTCAATTCAATCAATTTCAATCAATTTACGCCTGTTACTCCCAATGGAGCATAGGCCGCTGACCAGCATTCTCCAACCCACTCTGTCCTGGGCCTTCTTTTCTAGTTCCATCCAATTCTTGTTCATTTTTCTCATGTCTATCTCCATTTCTCGGCGTAACGTGTTCTTTGGTCTTCCTCTTTTCCTTTGGCCTTGAGGATTCCATGTGAGGGCTTGTCTTGTGACGCAGTTGGGTGCTTTCCTCAATGTGTGTCCTATCCACTTCCAGCGCTTCTTCCTGATTTCTTCCTCCGCTGGGATCTGGTTTGTTCTCTCCCACAGTACGTTGTTGCTAATAGTGTCCGGCCAACGGATCCGAAGTATTTTGCGTAGACAATTGTTAATAAACACCTGTATCTTCTGGATGATGACTTTCGTAGTTCTCCAGGTTTCTGCCCCATATAGTAGAACTGTCTTGACATTTGTATTGAAAATCCTGACCTTGGTGTTGGTTGACAGTTGCTTTGAGTTCCAGATGTTCCTCAGTTGTAAATATGCTGCTCTTGCTTTGCCGATCCGCACCTTCACATCTGCATCAGATCCACCCTGTTCGTCAATGATGCTGCTTAAATACGTAAAGGTTTTTACATCTTCCAAATCTTCTCCGTCAATTGTGATTGGGTTGGTGCATTCTGTGTTGTATCGGAGAATCCTGCTTTTCCCTTTGTGTATATTGAGACCTATTGCTGCTGAGGCTGCTGCCACACTGTTCGTCTTCTGCATTTGTTGTTGCGTTTGGGATAGAAGGACCAGATCATCTGCGAAGTCTAGATCGTCCAGCTGCATCCTAGATGTCCATTGTATCCCGTGCTTCCCTTCAGACGTTGACGTCTTCATGATCCAGTCGTTCACCAGGAGGAAGAGAAAGGGTGAGAGTAAGCAACCTTGCCTGACACCGGTCTTCACTTCGAACGACTTTGTCAACTGTCCTCCATGCACAATTTTTGCAGTGTAATCCATCATATGAGTTCTGTATGATATTGACTATCTTCTGAGGCACGCCGTAGTGTCGAAGAAGCTTCCATAGTGTTGTTCTGTCCACGCTATCAAATGCCTTTTCGTAGTCAATGAAGTTGATGTAGAGTGATGAATTCCATTCAATTGATTGTTCCACAATGATCCGTAGAGTTGCGATTTGGTCTGTACACGATCTACTTTTACGAAATCCTGCCTGTTGGTCACGAAGTTGGGCGTCTACGGAGTCCTTCATCCTGTTTAACAATACCCTGTTGGAGACTTCTCCCGGTATTGAGAGAAGAGTGATACCCCTGTAGTTATCACAGTTGCTGAGATCACCTTCCTTCGGTATTTTGATCAGAAGTCCTTCTTTCCAGTCTGTTGGTACTTGTTCCTCATCCCAAATCTTATTGAAGAGAATGTGGAGTATCCTTGCAGTTGCCGCTACGTCTGCTTTTAGTACCTCTGCTGGGATGTTGTCCGGTCCTGCTGCTTTGCCACCCTTGATTTGTCTGATGGCCATGCTGATTTCTTCAATTGTTGGTGGGTTAACATTGATTGGGAGGTCGTGGGTGCTGCTTCGATGTTGGGTGGGTTCAGTGGAGCTGGTCGATTCAAGAGTTCTTTGAAGTGTTCTACCCACCTGTTTTGTTGCTCTTCAATGTTGGTGATTACCTTGCCTTCCTTGCTTTTCACTGGACGTTCTGGTTTGCGGCGATTTCCAGAGAGTTTCTTTGTCGTGTCATACAGTTCTCTCATGTTCCCCTCTCTTGCAGCATTTTCCGCCGTCGTTGCTAAATCTTCCACATATTTACGTTTGTCGGTTCTGATGCTCCTCTTCACCTGTTTGTTTACTTCTGTGTATTCAGTTTGTGCCTTGGTTTTTTCTGCTCTTGTTCGGCTGGTATTGATTGCTGCCTTCTTCTTCCTCCTTTCTTGAATCTTATCCAGTGTATCAACAGTGATCCATTCCTTGTGATGGTGCTTCTTGTGACCCGGGACCTCATGACATGTTGAAGTGATTGCCTCTTTGATCCCCTTCCAGTTGCTCTTCACAGTAGTTCCTTCTCCATTGAGTAGATTATGAAAGGCCTGGAACTTGTTGCTGAGGACTATCTTGAATTTGTTGAGTTTGTTAATATCCTGAAGAAAGGCCGTATTGAACTTTTGTGATATTGTCCGCCTCGTTGTCCAGTGTTTCTTGAGTTTCAATTTAATCTTAGCGACCAGCAAGTGATGATCTGATGCTATATCAGCTCCTCTCTTGGTTCTCATGTCCTCTATAGTCCTCCTGAACGTTTTGTTGATGCAAATATGGTCGTTTTGGTTTTGTGTAGAGTGATCCGGTGAAGTCCATGTGGTTTTGTGTATGCGTTTATGTGGGAATATGGTGCCGCCTATGACCAGTTTATTGAAGGCACATAGATTTGCAAACCTCTCACCATTTTCGTTTCTTTCTCCCAGTCCGTGTCGTCCCATGATGTCTTCATATCCAGTGTTGTCCGTTCCAACCTTGGCGTTGAAATCTCCCATCAGAATGGTCAGGTCCTTTGTTGGGCACTTCTCGATGATTGACTGCAGCCTGTCGTAGAATTGATCTTTAACGTCTTCATTGTAGTCGTTGGTAGGCGCATAGCATTGGATGATGTTCATTGAAATACCCTCTTTCTTTGTTTTGAACGAGGCTTTGATGATCCTTGGTCCATGAGATTCCCATCCTATAAGCGCATTTTGTGCTTGTTTGGACAGCATCAATGCAACTCCTTGTGTATGTGGTGCATTTTCTTCTTCATGACCGGAGTATAACAGGAGCTCTCCTGAAGTTAGTCGTTGTTGTCCAACTTCTGTCCAATGTGTTTCACTGATCCCAAGTACCTCTAGGTTGTATCTTCTCATTTCTGCAGCAATTTGGAAGGCTCTCCCGGTGTCCCACATTGTACGAACATTCCATGTACCTAAATAAATGGTTGCTCTGGTTGTCAGAAGGGGCATCGGCCTCGTAACTTCCGAAGGAATTCGGCTTTCATCATGAGGCGTCATATTTCTTCTAAATGAAGACCTTCTGACTCCCAGGACAGAGTTTAAAAGGTTTGAATAATTTTTTCTGGTTAGCGTTTTTTTTAGCGAGTTAGTTTTCTACGGGATGGGGACGCTAACCCCATGCCCAACCCTCCTCCTTTATCCGGGCTTGGGACCGGCAGTAGCCCCCAGAGGGACTCCAGGCGGAGTTCTGTATGTAAATTAGTTGTGCTAAATTTGTTTTAGTTAGTCAGCTCATTCTCACCTCGAACCGTGAGGCTCAAATGCACACGATGAGTAGGTAGATCTTAAAAACTAATGTCAATTTAAATGTAAGTGACTTTTTGAATATTGTTATTGTTCAGATGTTTCTGTTATGTGATATCTTCATAAAATTACAGTGGTTCATGATTCATTTTCATGATCTGCCTCGCATAATAATGTTGGTAGTGTGAAATAGCTAATTAACAACAAGCATAAAATACAAATTTGGATTATAGTAAAATATATTCCGACAATTAAATATTTAATTGAATTTACATAAATTGATTTTGTCAACTGAAGTTACGAATCGTGTCGTTAATTTTCACATATGAATAAAGCGGAAGTTTATGGATTTAAGAATGAAATAAACAATCAAATATTCATGATCTAACATACAGCATATGTTCATCACTCTATCGACAAGAATTATTAAGGACTTTATGACAGATGTTTACCCAAACATATTTGGATTTATCTATGGCCACGTTCCCAGTTTGTATTCGTTCTTTAAGGATTTACAGATAAAAAGTTTTGTGAATTATTTAATTTTCATGTAAACAAGGAATCTTGATTTTTAACAAAGTGATATGCATAATAAACCCTATCCTGAATATCATATAGTGTTTATCGTGTTAAACGAGACGAATTAATAATAAACGCAGTGTTGATGTATAATAAGTGTTGGCTCATGATTTAAACACTGTCGATCATTGCGCTAATTTTAAAAACAGTTTTTATCATGAATATTTTTGAAAACCGATTAAGACAAGCAAAAATAGAAACTAGTAAATAGTACTTTGTTTTTCTGTGTTTTGTTAAAATATTGTCGGTATGGATTAAAACGTGATATGCCATAAAAAATTTCTCTCTTTGTGAGAAAATTTTCGAAGTTTATGAGCTTCAGACTTTGACACTTGTCTAAAGAAATATCACTAATTATTTATTTACTGCTGAATACTCAAACACCGCACACGTTTTCAAGAAAATCATGTTTCTTCAGGGTATTACAACTGTTATACCTATAATCCTTTTGCTTAATGATTAGTTAATCACGAATTGTATTGTTAACCATTTGTTAGATATGTAATCAAAATAAAATTTATCTACTGCTATTACTTAATCCTATATATGCAAAAATGAACAAATATGCAGTTATAATTGTCAGAAGCACTGTATAAAAGTAGTTTGTACTTCGTAAATATAAAAATCCACATTTTCTAGCATTTAAATGAAGTAAGAACAACAATGTTCTTGGTTTGTCTAGATTTTTGAGTAAAATTAACTATATGAAATTTCAAGGATCTAATTTGTTATCTTGCATATCGGTCATTTTACCTCATTTGTCGATTATGTTACATTACTTAAAAGATCCCGATCAGTTAGATTTTAGTAGATGAGTTTTATGTTCACTTACAAAATTATCAAAACTTAATTGTTATATTTTCCATATTTCCAAAAACTTTAAGTCTTTGATACCTCTCATATACATAATTTTATTACAATTTCTGCTTTAACTCGGTGTGTAGATTAGATACATTTTGATAGTATAATAGACACACTTTTTACTAACTTACGCTGATTAAATTGAAGTACAACTTGCATAACACAGAATGGCAAAATACATAAACAACTTAATTTACTTTGTGTTCTAAATACTTAAACTTTCTTAGAATGTGACATCTTTAAACAAAAATGCATGATATAAAATTTGGTTATTAACACAAAAACTGTCATTATGTTATCTGGATTAGTGATGAAAAAAACATTTAAGCCTATAGAATCTAATTATCTAGAAAAAAATTTGATTATCAAATGTTAAGAATTCGGAAAGGAACTTATGAACTTTATATATATTAGGTTCGTCTCGAAAGCACAATTTTATTTTTAATTATTTTTGGAAAGATCACTGATAAAATTTGTCTCTTGTCAGCGGCCGGTATTATTTTCATAAAAATATGTATGTTAGAGAATATATGTTGATATCATTTAATTGTATACTCTACTGCGTAAACTTATTTTGAGCTCATTAGCTTACTTGCGCTTTCAATGTTAAGATTTCAGACGTCACTTAGAAGATACTACCATCCTATCTAAGTATGTGTGGTATATATATGTTGCTTAAAAATCAGACATTAATGGTAAAAGTTTGATTAACGAAGGCTATTTCCCAGTTATCTTATGATCTCACATGAACATACATTATAAACATGAAACAAATAACAATTTTTATTTACATAGAAGTATTTCATATATGACTACTGATTGATAATCCTTATTTTACATCCAGTCTCTAATTATTTCAAACTCAGTCAGTACCAAAACTTTATTTGCTAAATTTGTTGGCTTGAAACTGTTAGTCTGTTTTTTGTCAAAGAGCTTAGGTAGTTTAAAATTAATTGAAGAACTGTTATTACTAAACCAATATTTCTTAGTAGATCGACATATTTCAAATAAGTTAGTACTCGGATATACATTTCGATTAATGATTAAAATCAAAGAAATTGAGAAAGAAGATGATGATTATGTCTTCAATTTAGGATATATATTTGAGCAGCAGAATTAAGTTACATCTTTGAAAGACGGCTTACATCATACACTTTATTTCTTTATGATCACAATTATCACCATGTTTGAATTTGAATTTCAAATCAGTGTCGGACTATGTGTAAAAAGAAATATTTTCCTCAGGTAAACCAACAAAAATCATATGTTTACACTTTCTTTGATAGTGTGTATATGTAAAAATATACACCAAAGTGTGCAATTCGCTTTCTGTGAAGTGAAAAATTTATTTGCGTATATACTTGTCAAAATTAGTACGTATTCAGCAAAGAGGCAACTAATAAAACAAGTACTTTAAATGGACCCGACTAAAAAATGAACATTATTGTATGTTTATTTGGATTTGTTTTTACTTTAAAACTACTTTTAGAACCATAACAACTCTATAAAACACAGCATATTTGTTATTACAACAACATTTTCTCTAGAAAACGTGACTTTATTATAACCTTTTGAGAATCTAAATGTTACAGAATATTTGTAGTGATACCATATTACCTTGGATTAGGAGAAATTTGATGCTCTGTTTTTGTGTTTATTGCATAAAGCAGAGAAAAAGATCCACATAGCTTTTTCTGTATATATTATTAGATTACGTTTTGCATGTAGTAGGTTGGTTTAACTTGTAATTTACTTTAAAATTCATAAAATTTTTTATTGAATTCAAACAGAGTAAAAGACTATTAAATGATTACTTTAATTCTTTCCTTCAGTAATATATAATTTGGTAATAACATTCCCAACTACTTTTTGATGTAGGGTTTTCAGTTTCGTACGCTAGTGGTATTAATTTCAAAAAGGTTAGAAACTGATCACAATTTGCACATCAACAGTACTCACCAATCAGGAAACGGTTTCATATTTCTAACTTTACTTAGTAACAAGGTTACTCATTAGACGTATCCATCGTGAAATTACCCCAGTTTTAATAAATAGAAAAATAAACTAAATGAGAAATAGTCTCTTAATATATAGTATTTTCTCATGAAAGTTGTATACTATATGTGATTTTCACAAACATTTGAATATTCATCATGGACCTTGCTCATACACTGTGAGGACAATTCATTCAGGTATGCGCTCTCGTAAGTTTATTCACCGGAGTTCTCTTAATCAAAAACTGTAAATTATTACATTCCATAAAGTCTGATATTAAATCGAAAGCAAATTTTACACCAATATCCTATACTAATAGACAATTTTTATCAACTATGAAGTATGAATACTTAAACAGAAAAACACTTTCTACCTTCCATATTGAACTAAAGCGTACTAAAAAGAAGAATAACCACTGAAATCTATACTCCTTCATTTTCTTTAACCGTTACTTCATGACGCTATCCAACTGACGTATTACTAGTTGATGGGAATAATTTTTCTTTTACGTTAGGGTAATATATCCTTATTGAAATATAATATCTGTCGTGTCTTATGACTGAAATATATTTTATCATTCTTCATAATACAATAATAAATGGTCGTTGACGTATAATAATCTATCGAACAAAATATTGCACACAGAAACACATGTATAACATCTGATGATATTAGTTAGAAGAAACACTTGTACTTTTAATGATAAATGAACAAGAATCAAGTTAAATAATATATTTTTGATTTTATAGTTATAAACTATTTTGTCAGTTATTTGCTCTATGAATGCTCACAATAATTTATCTTAATTCTTTTAACATATATATATATATATATATATATATATTGAGAAAAATTTCCTTTATTAGTTTATTTTCTAACGACATTAAAATTGATTACCAGTATTTTTACAAGTGATCAGTTATAGAATTTTTTCGCAAGAATTGAAAAGAATCAAAATGTATGAGGGTTGATAAACCAAAATTTAACACGTATTTATAAATTACATAATGAGAATTTAATTTGTTAAGAATATATATAACCATTATATAGTAGAGACTATCTTTAAAACTTATATTCACTGACAAGTTCCCAAGAGAATCAAATAAATCAGACTAAGAAACATTAGAGTTCTTGTATACATGAATACTTTGTTTTTCTATTGATAATTATTTATCAACTCCAGATATTAACAAAACATTTACTGATAATGAACGAAATAAATGTGCTTGTTTTATTTTTTATATAAATATTTAGACGAAATCATCGAGGAACTTGATTTGTTTGATTTATTATAATAAATTCGTCAGATTTACACATTATTTGATACGTTATTTTTTAAGATAATACTCACAAATAGTTATTATTCTACCACCCTTAGCAAATTCAGACTATTAATACTTCAGTACTAAGCTATTAAATACACAAAATGTATTTTTATTAGTAAATTAATTTTTATCAAGAAATCATTTGTTCAACTGATTATTAATATTGGTATTAAATTCATGAAAGTTCTGTGTTTATTATGAGAGTTCTGAATGTGTATTGAATAAAAGTTTAAACCTGAGTTTCGTACTATTTAGTAACAGTGATCAACAAAAATCCTTAATAAATTGATACCTCTGATAAAACTCAAATTTATTTTGTCCGGTATGATGAAGATTTAAGCAAAATCACCTGAAATCAAATTTGTTGTACTAGATTTATTCGGTTAAATAACTCATATAGGGAAAATAAAACAACTTAAATCTGATTTTATCTATGTTTAGTTTAATCTTGATATGGACTTTCATATTTTAATCACAGCTTCTATTTTAAAAAATCTCTCTCATGATATATGGTGACCATGGAACTATTATGCAATTAGTTCCTTTTATGAACTTAACTAAACACAGACTTTTGAAATCTAAATATTTACAGTTATCTAATCTTTCCGATAATTAACTTGTAGTGAATATGAAGAAATCTGTGGATTACACATTTTGTAAAAGTGTTTTTCTCCCATATAATCTCATGAATACACTTTTTAAATAACCAATACTTTTATTCCGTAAAGACTTACTCAATTAGTTTCCAGGCTTTAACATCTTGTTTCTTCTCTCTGTTCTTTTACATTGTAGCAATACGGGTTGACGTTGAGGACGCAAATCACTATAAAAAAGACATTCTGACGGCAATCGAATGTAAACTAGGAGTAAAGTTGCAACCGTTCTTCATTGTTGCTGGTCTTTTGAGAGATGTGAAAGATCCAATGTTCGCGCTTCAAGCATTCCTAGGTAAATAAACAATTCCTACTATATTTTCACTTACACTTCGTGACTACTTATAAGTAGGTAAATCAAATTTATGATTCATTATATGTAACTAAGGTTTACTTCTTTCCTTTACTTCGAAGCCGAAATAGTTTTTCAGTTTACGATATTGGTTGTTGATATTAAACTTTCAGTGGCTACCGCTAGTAAAAAATTTTATTATTTTAAATTAATTCGTAAGGTCTGTTGAGCTGATATTCCTGACTGAATTTTAATCATTTTCGGCATATTTGAATCCTGTGCGGATTACCTCGATTTGGCCATTTTGTCACACGTTTTGTTAAAGAAACGAATTGCAGTTGACAGTGCGATTCCGAACGCCCGTATATGAGCCTATTGGATACTGAATTATACAGTGAATGAGTCTCGAGTAGTGTGAAACATACTTCCTGGATTCCACCGCGAACCACAACCCTTTTGTTCTATGGAATATATTTTTGTCTTCCTCGCACCGTAAATCTGTTTCTGCATTGATTATTTACAGTGATAACGAATTTCCTTCGTGAATTGACAAAATTTCCCGGGCCGTGTAATATTTTCCAGAAAAGAACTGTTTTCTTTGACAACTGATAACTCCTATTTAATGACAGAGAACATACGTAAATTAATCTTCCCTGACTAGACTGGAAGATTATGATTAATTTCACACCGCAAATAGGTTTTCAATGATGCTTACCATATAAACTCCAGCCCAGTGGCCTAGAGGTTAAGCGTCTGTAAGCGAAACCAAATGTCCCGAGTTTCAATCCCGTTGTTGGGGTCCTGGGTGCGCACTGAGGTCAACTCGTAACCTCAATGAACACCTCAAGTGAATATTGAAGGATATATACTCATGTTACGTTGACTACTACTTAAATTTTGAGTGACCTACGGTTTGTTCGAATTTATCTTTTACTAACACAGCAGACTATTTATACCTACATAGCTATCGTAGTGTATAATCAAATGCATATTGATTATCATTTTTTGGACAGTAAGAATCAAAATAAGATGAAGAGGGACTTTTGCGTTAGACATCTAATCCTGAGTAGTTTTCTAATCTATACAATGTTACCGATTGTTTATACAATGGCATTAATTTAATTAGCTAGAATAAACCAGACATGTGTTCCAAAACATATTCAGTTTCTTTCATTTGCTTTGGCTCAAACTATAGTCATTCCTTTCCTTCGTACTGTCAGTCCCATACTATATTACTTGAACCTTAATCTTATTTTTTGTATATGTTTTCTCAATCTCGACCTACGAAGAATCCTAACTGCATATATATAGTATTACTATGTTCGCAGTGTAACAAATATAGTATTTCCTACAATTTGTATCAGTAACATGATTTAAACTCTGTTGACTATAACTCACTAAACTATCCCACCATTTTTCGTATGACCTTTCAACCTTATAATGGGGGCATTTTGCACATATCTAGCACGTAACTGATTCAAAATCGATAGTTGTCAATTTACACCACTGTCGATTCCATTCACATTTGGTATATATATACCCTAGTTTAGAGTGTTCATAAGCCTATACTTGTGAAGTTATTGAAGACAATTGTTTGCTCAGATATCTTCCATTTTGGAAATATTTAAATTATTGAAATGGTTTATCTACTATTCTGGATTTTATTTGATTACTTCTTAAAATATTCTCCTATTTATCAGTCACCAAAACTCTAGTAATACCTAATCATAAGTAATTTAATAGCATAATTATATAAAAGTCACTTTGTCCGTACTTCGTCCAACCATTTTTGTCATCTTTCTTTTTTTTCTCAGAATGGAGAAATCAAGATAAAAAAGAGAATAAGGATTCGAAAGTGACTTCAACTATTAATTATAAATCTTATAATCTTTTATATGTTGGATCAGTTGTAAGTTATTCAATACTTGTTGTAATTAATGTGAATATAAAAAATTATAACAAAAATCACCAGCTCAAGTCATTATTTTCTAACTGAAATGTAGATTAACAAATAGTCCATTGTTAAATGTGATTATATGAGACGTTAGGTAACTAGTTTATTGAACTGTTGTGAGATTACCACAAGTAAACTCGGTGGAAGTGTTCAGACTATCGTTTGAATGCGTTAAAATAAGTTTAGGAAATTATGTAAGTCTAGATTTATGTTCTTAAAATGTCGTATATACAGAAAATATTGATCTATGTCCTACCTGTCACCATGTTTTCTACTCAGTATGATATAAGTTAGATTTTTTCAGTGTACTGTTTTATTTCTTTTTATGCAATAACACATTAATTTGACGGTCATTTTAAATTGACAACAGACATAATATAATATCTATTTGCTTTGTAACGCATTTCTTATGTCATTCTAAAAATGGGCCGTAAACAAACATTAAAAACTCTGAATTCATATACAGGATTAAAAATGTCATAACTATTTTAAAGAATAATTTAAGTGATTTTATGATGCAATGTGTTACGTCCTTGGTGCTGAGGCTACTTATCTAATCCGGATTTAAGATCCTGGCGCGATAGGCTGACCGACCTAACGTTGAAGATTGTACGCGTGAGTTCGAAGTGGGGTAGAGAGAAGAAAACTATTCTATCACCTGATTGGCTGACAAGCACGCGAATGAGAGAAGACAAGACAAGTGGAACACTACTCGATCTATTCCCGATATCCCGATTTCGGATTCGTGTAAAAAGGTACATGAATAAATAGGTGACTAACCCGACCACAGTCAGTCAGTCAGTCAGTAACAACGTAGAACTTCGTACGTACGTACATCAGTTCGAGTTGCCACACCACATTATCACAGAGATGCACTTGTCGATTCAAATCCCGCCCGACCACAACGTACAGTAATTAGGAAAAATACAATTATGTCCAAAGCTGGGAATGAGAGTAGAAAATAGAGTACAAAATATTGTTTAAATTACAATAGCTTCGGAACAGAAAACGGTATGGCAATGATTCATACATTGAACGAAAGCTTATGTTCTGTAGAATAGATTAGAGACAAAAATAAATGTTAGGTTTTACAAGCTTTCAATAAAATAAAATAACGTCCCGAAAAATAGCTTTCGTGGTTTGTCAGATCTTCCTGTTCCCCTGTTCAACATAATGTATAGAATCTGTTTTATTGATATATGCGGAAACACAGTTTCAAAGGTATCATTGCTTAGTTCCCACTATTTGCAATCGAACATCATCATTTTGAAACTAACGTAGGCTAATTTTAGGGACTAGTTTTGTATTACTGTTGTGACTACTCCGAAAACCACAACGAAACCTTCAGACGCCCTGAAAGTGCCGAAGTGATCCCGTCCAGTCAGAACATGATAGAACCTTATAAAATATCGACGCGATATGCTATTCTTGGAAAATTGAATAACTTACCTATATGTGGGTTGGCTGGATTATAATGATGTTATAGTCAATATCGCTGTTTTCCTGTACATTTTTGACTCTTACCTGATGATAACTTCCCTTGATTCATCCACCTTTTGATTTGAGACTGCGGGGTTATACATATTCGAGTGCCAATAGTTGTATACCGTATTTTTCCGTAATCAAGTAGGGGATGTAATAATTACTGCTTTCAATTAACACTACTCAAGATTCTAATTTAAACCTTGAGGTAAAATATTGATCAAGTCAATATTTTCAGGTATATATTTTATTTGTGATTGGTAGTGATTGTTAACCAAACACTCAAACTGAAATATGTCTGAATTCTGCTTTGTTTGAATAATTTACAGATTAAAATGGAATTAAGTCAGTGTATTTAACAGTTGTGAACATAATACCTTGATGAATAACCAATCGGTTATTGTGAAGCAATATTTTTCATAGAGAGTTTCTAAATTCCGAATTCATTGTTGCTACTATTAATGACAAAATATTGTTCATTTTATTTAGGAGTCTGAAATTTCTCATGTAATCAGCAAAAATACAAGAAATGTATCAAAAGACAATCTGGTGATTACTTTGAAATATTGAAGTCGCATAAATTTTTAACTTTGTAGTACTAACTGTAAGAATGAACTTTCTGAACTCGATACCTTAGGTATCAATTAGGATTTACTTGAGTCTGAGTAATAATAACAATACATAGAAGACACAGTTTATCACTATAATATTTAGAACTCTGTAAATAAGTAAATATACATGTTTGTTCAAGTGTATCCCCACCATTAATCACCAATCCAGTAACTTCACTTTTGGAATCAGAGGTAAATTGTGCAACATAAAAGACTACTACAAAGTGACTTTTAGACAGATTAGACATACAAAAGTACTCTACTTCACGTATCACTACTTAATGCAATAAAATATTTCAAGATGTTTTCTAAAAAATTTAAATAGCTAACAATCTATTGTATGAGTTATTAAAAAACTAACTCTGAAGTGGAATTAAAACTAATAACTTTGTGATAAATACTTATCCCAATACTTTAGTTATGATGTAATTTAGTCACGAAAAACAGGAATGACTTATAATTCTGTGAAACGAGCCTTTTTATAGTGTACAGACAAAGTGAACAAGCTACAATCAATCTCAAACTGGCAAATGAATATACATCGTAGTCTGTCAGAGCAGTTTCAATTTTTTATAACTCCAGTTACGAATCTGAATAACTTGAGACTAATCTTCATTGTATAATTTACAGCGGTTACAAATTACTGATGTATTCTGCACTCAGGAAGTAGGCACTTAAACTTTACTTAATGAACTTATATGTGGTTGTTCTATGATAAAACTACGCAGCCATAGTACGTCAACCGAACTTAATCGAGTGTATTCAATATAAGGAAAGTGAAGAATAGTCATGATTAAGAAACCTTCTGATTTCTCCTAAAACAGAAAGCATATGACAATGCGTCTGCATGAACTTATAAATAACGTGAAAAAAATTTCAACAAGATTTTATTAAAAAGCATAGCTGTAGATTACTAAAAAAATGAATACAGACTATTAATTCATGACAGATGAATGTAAAAACTTGAATGATAAAAAGTGACAGTATGGATTTTAGGACGTTCCTAGCATCAGATTTTGTATAATCAACATAAATTTTTATATTTCATATTTAAATCAGACAAAAAATAGAAGTTTGACTAATAAATTTCCTCTCATTACTCACTTTAAAAAAATTCGATTACATATTCACATATCCTATCAAATTAAATAGTGACCATAGTGGTTCGGTCTATGTTACACAGTCAGATAGATAAATAACAATAGAGTAATTCTGTTTTTGTGACACTTACAGGAGTACACATAAATTCGTACGAAATATAACACGTAATTACTTAAACCCTCTACCCGTCGTGGAGGTGCATAGGCCGCCCACAAACATTCTCCATCCAACTCTATCCTGGAATATCCTTCCCAGCTGCTATTCATCATTTTCATGTCTAACTCCAATTCCCAACGCAGTGTGTTCCCTGGTCTTCCTCCTTCCCGTTTACCTTCAACATTCCAAGTCAACGTTTGCCTCGTGATGCAGTTTAACGATCTACTCAATGTGTGTCCTGTCCACCTCCAATATCTTTTCCTAATTTCCTTTCCAGCTGGAAGCTGGTTTGTTCTCTCCCACAATAGACCGTTGATGATGGAATCCGGCCAACGAACATTGAGCATCTTCAGTGGACAAGTATTTATAAATACTTGTACATTCTTGACGATAGTTGTAGTAGTTGTCCAAGTTTCAGCTCCGTACAGTAGGACTGTGTTGACGTTCGTATTGAAGATTCTGACTTTGATATTGGTTGACAGTTGTTTTGAGTCCCATTTGTTCTTCGACTGTAGGAGTCCTGTTGTTGTGTTTGCCAATCCTTGCCTTTACGTGTGATCGGATCCTCCTTGTTCATCGACGATACTGTCCAGGTAGGTGGGAGTTTCCACCTGTTCTCGATTTTCTCCATCAAGTGTGTTTGGTTTTGTTGGTGTTCTGTGTGTTGTATTTGAGTATTTTGGTTTTTCACTTGTGTATGTTGAGTCCTGTTGATACAGAGACAGCTGCTACACTGGTTGTCTTCACCTGCATTTGTTGGTGTGTGGGTGCGAAGTCCAAATCGCTTAGGTGCATGCAAGCAGCCCATTGTATTTAATGCTTTCCCTCAGATGTTGAGGTTTTCATAACCTAGTCAACTATTAGAAGGAAGAGAAGTAGGTAGAGTAAGTAGACTTGTCTGACTCCGGTCCTCACTTTGAATGCATCTGTCGGTCACCATCCATACATCACTTTGCTATGTAGTCCGTCGTATGAATTACGGATTTGTGTAGCTATGTCGTCAGCATATCTAATCTTTTATTCGGTTCAACAATAATCTATTGAAAGTTTTTCCTGATAATGAGAGTTTAATACCTCAGTAGTTCTCACACTTGCTGAGATCTCCCTTTCTTTTTTATATTGATGAGATATCCTTCTTTCCAGTCTGTCGCCACCAGTTCTTCCTCACAGATCTTCTTGAATAGAACGTGGAACATTTTTGTAGTTGCTTCTATATCTAACTTCAGTGCTTCAGCTGGTATGTTGTATGGTTCTGCTGCTTTCCCACACTTAATTTGTCTGATGGTCACCCTGATTTCTTCAATCACTGCTGGAGCGACAGCTGTAGGAAGGTCTGCATGTGTTGCCTCATTGTCCGGTGGGTTCGGTGTGGCTGGCCTATTCAAGAGTTCCCCAACATGCATTACCCACCTGTTCCTCTCTTCTTGAATTTCAGTGAGTGGCTTGCCCTTTGTGTCCTTGACCGATCTCTCTGGTTTACTATGTTTCCCTACTGGTTTCTCCGTTACGTCACATAGTTTTCTCATATTTCTTTCTGTTGCAGCTTTTTTCGCTGTCTTTCACGTATTTCTGTTTGTCAGCTCTAACGTTCCTCTTCGTCTGCTTCTTAGCTTCTGTGCATTCGACCTTTGCCTTGACTTTCTCTGTTCTTGTTCGGCTGCTGTTAATTGCTGTCTCCTTGTTCTTGATTTCTTTAATCGTGGGCAGGGTTTCGATACAGATTCATTCTTCATGATGATGCTTCTTGCGGCTCAGACCCTCCTGACACATTGAACTTGGCGCTTCATTGATCCCTTGCTAGTTGTTCTCCATTGTAGTTCCCTCTACTTTGACTGCAACCTCTCATAAAACTGACCCTTATTGTCTTCATTGTTATCATTGGTAGGTGCATAGCACCGGATAACATTAATTGTTATCCCCTCCTTCTTGGTTTTGACGACTCCGGATCAATTAAATTCCCATCCCATAAGTGTTCTTCGTGCTTCTTTGGACAGTATTAGTGCAACTCCTTGTGTGTGCACGGTATTTTCTTCGTCATCACCAGAGTAAAATAGTAAAACAGGATTATTTGTCTGCGTCATTTTCTATTTGAAATGAATTACTGTGTAGAGAGTGAAACACTTCACTTTAGACCTAATTATTTTAATGAACAATAGGATAATAAAATCAGTATGTATCTAGTTTATTCATTTTATAACTGAAATAACATGTAGCATAGACCAATGAGTGATAAATATTAGAAGTTTATTTTATATCAGTTGCGATATGACCTTGTTTTCAGTAGGTCCATTGACATATACCTCACGAACATACACTATATTAACTCTATGCTTAACTACACAAATTTGTTCAAGCACTTCAAGTTCTTGATAGTTGGCTTTCAGTTTGCTTTACAATTATATAACTAGGTATTTTTTTCTCTCGTGAATAACAATCTATTCTTTATTTCTTCATTTGGCTCTATCATTCATCTTTTTTTATTTTACTTAAACTAATGTAATCGTGTTAACTATTTTCCTCCGTGCACACATGTGACATACTGTAGTTAATTTAGATCATTGTAACATGAAAGATTATATACATATATGTGAATAACAATTGCAAGTTAGTTTGCTAGTCAGGTTTAGATTTCTTACTGTCTAAATATGTAGGCTTGTTTGTGTGCATATATTTAAATCCATTCGTGTTATTTATCTATTTGTATGCTTTCTTTGAGTGTAGAACGAAAAAAAGAAAGAATTATTCTTAGTTTCTGTTAACTATAAACTATTAGCATGAATGAAGTTTATTGACTATGGTCGATAAACAAGAGAATCGAAAACAAAATCAACAAATAATAACCTGTTTTTAAGTCTATATGATAAATAATAAATTATTGAAATGAACAAAGCCAAATTTTGTTTTAATGTACTTATTTTATTACCATGATTACATTTTTATTGAAAACATCAATTAGTCAGTTGGAAAACCTGAATGTTTTCATTTGATCGTCTGAATAATTCTCAATTTATGGTTATAATTATCACAAATCGGATTATGGTTACTGTGAGTAGTGGTAGTTTGTTCTATTGTATGTTTGAGTATAATCCGTAAACATGTAATTCTCTGTAAGCGATTACTTGTTCCATGTAAACAATAATGTACCACAACTTGGATAACAGCTGATTTTGTACGTTTATCAAATAGGCATACATTATCTAGAGTAATAACTTTCGTTTGCCGAATGAAGCAAATAATAGTGTACAGTTTAGTACTTGAACTAACTCGTCACAGTAATGAGGACACGTTCTGAGGAACTTATTGGATATTACTAAAATAATGGGCGAACCCTAACCGAAAATAATCAAGAAACTCGGTAGTTAATTTCAGTTAGGTTTTCGAAAAAAATAAAACTATATATCTAGTAGGATTGAACTTTTTTTAAACAACAGTTGAAACATAATCATTCAACATTTCGAGAATAGATTCATTACAGATTAAATAATTAATTTAAAATTAGGAAGTATTTCAGAACAGAATTATTGAAATATTAAATCAAAACAACTTACTATTTGTTTTTTATTTGACTATAATTATATTGTATAAACTAACCATTTCCTACGTGAATTCATGTGATCTCTGATTTTTTTTATTAGGAAGAAGATACAGAAAATATACAACAATTTATTGATGAAATAGATGGGTAGGTTTTTTTTGCGAGTAATACATCATATCGCTTAAGTATTATTTTTCCAACTTAAAATTACTTAGATTTAATAAAAAATAATTAAAGGATATTGATATTAATTAGTTGACCTACCAAGCAACTGTACATAAAATATCCTTAAAATTTACGGAATTATGATAGGATTCAGTGATGTTTATTCAAGTATCTACATTAGCAATCACATAATGATTCATGAAACTTATATTTTTTAATAACTTGAAAGCTTGATCTGACGTGGATTTGTGCAACGCTTTATTTTGATTATAGCTGACTTTGGAAGTTTGAAAGTTTATATGAGTTCTGTAACAATGATATATGGTAATATTTTTTAGTTACTTATTGCGAAACAAATTCCTAATGATAAATTAATAAATATGATAGATTATCATATAGATAATATTATTATGGATAAAAAAAAGAACGATAGTCAATTCCACTTAATTCAATAGTTTACGAATAATTAAATTAAATTAACAATTTTATTCCCAATGGATTTCTTTCATTCATTTAGACTAAACAGAACCAACAAGATTGTTTTCTAAAATGGCATTTTTGTAACATTTTCTTGTATATTTGGAAAGTTAAATATACAATTACTATCAACTCTACTCGGCTTGCACAGTGATAACTGATGATTTTTTTTCTTTAGTGGTATACCAAAATACAACTGAATATCTTACCCAACAATATAAATACTACCCGAAATTGATTAAAATTGGGTTGAATCTAATTAAATGTTACCATAGCTTTTTGACTAAGTGGGAAAATTTTTTTTTTCACATATAACAAATACGCAGTAAAAATAGTCCTGTTTTTGTAAAATACTATTTGAAATAAAATACTTCAATCTAATTATTGGACACAGATTATGACATTCTATATCGGATTTTACAATGTATGATTTTTTCTTCGCCTGTGATTATTTTAAGTAATAAATTCTTAAATGCTGTAACAGAAAACTTGGAAGAAATTATAAATGACTCTATGATATAATGTATTACAATTAGGCTATATTTAAAGCGTTGAGACATTATTATAATATTCTTTTTAAGTTATTCAACTACACTAATATATTTGATGAAATAAAGTCAGATGAAGCATTAGAAAGTTTCGGCAAAGCGTTTTGTACTACATCATAATCTATGTATGCTGAATAAGATTAGCATGCATCGACTTCATTTTAACTGAACAGCTTTATATTCAAGGCTAGGTCTAATTTCCAACTCTATCCATCAATTTTTTTGTTGCAAAGATTTTTTAAAGTTGTCATCATCAAAATCATATTGAAGATTTTTGTTAATTCAATAAAACAATTATGGCATAACTGCACTTTATGTATACAGATATTCAATTAGTTCAAAAAAAAATATAATTTCCCAATAATAAATTATAAGTTTCAAAGCGAGGATATTAGTTAAATTTTCAAATATGATTAATAGTTTTAGCCTGAGATCAACATGGATATTTGATTTTTATATGCCTACTTCAACTGTACTCTTTATTCATTAATAATATCAAGGATGTGAAAAATAATGTCAATTTTTTCTTCCTACGACAATTACTGGAATTCTTCATTATGATTGTATATGGCAAACATTACAAAATTGTATTTAGGAAACACCGTATGGTACGTTGAAAAAAAGCTAACAATCATATGTTCAAATATAATATACACATACAACAACCAATCAAAGAAGAAATAAACCCTGTTTATTGATTGGTCCACACTAGTCAGTCTTCACGTACCTGACATTTGAGAAGGCGAATAAAACTGCTTTATTTATTGATTAATTGAAATTAAATTTTTATATGAATGAAAATTTTACCTCACTCAAAATGTGATAAAAGCACTGAACTGTTTTGACAACTATTATGATACTATAAAATACATATTACTGTATTTATATGAAAAAAGGGAATATTTTTGAAAAGACAAAGAGATCATTGTATACACGAACTTCATGTACATGTGATCAGAGATCCAACCTAAGAAATGCCATACCTATTCAACTAAGAGTGATGTCAACAACTATAGTTTGTTATACTTATAAAAAATTGTGACAATGACAGATATGCTGATAAATCCCCGTTTATTTATCAATTAGTTTATCTAAATGATAGTACTGATAAACACAGAAGTCTAAAAATCATAATTCAAAAATAAGTAAACTATATGATGTACTGTAATAAAAGATAAGACAGTAACTGCTATTTAATCATTATCCATAAACAAACAAAACTAAGCGCGATATTTTAAATACGACACTTGAAAAGTCACTGATTTCTGAAGTATTTATTTTGTTTAAAAATAACTAAATTGATGTAGTAAAAGGTTTGAAACGTGTTGTATTTTAATTGTAAGCAAGTCTAATGAGATTTGTGGATAAGTAACTGACAAAGTATCATTAGTCGATTCATTTCAGACTCGTTTTATTTTATTGTACATCATTTCATCTCTAAAATAGCTTAGTCTTTTTTACTTAATTTTATACATATACAGAAGTCACATAGAGGTCAAACAATAGACTGCGTCTAAGCTAGAATAACGAAGGTTAATTGAGGATCTATACAGTCATAAAAGTAAAAGAAAACAGACAAACGAAATAAGATTACACGTACAAGGGAAATTATCTTGTGTTATTTATGTTATCGTATCTTCTCACTCTTTACACGAAAACTTGTGTGTTATCTATAAATAGTATGTTCTTTATTACAGCAAAGGGAAATCAATAACACTGATACTCGAAAAAGTAGTAAACTAATCATTGTGGAGCATAACGCTCAATAGAAAAACAATAATAACCGGTAGTTCTATGACTAATTATTGGATCACTGCCAAAAACACTTTTCCAACAAGTCAAAGGAATTAAATTTACGATACCATCTTTAGAAATAGCACTCCGTGATTCAGAAAAAGTGTTTTTATCATTTCTAATTCTACTAAAATGACAGACTTTAACACAAGTAACCTGACGTGTTTGTTTTTTAATAGGATATTTTGATTAAATGGACAAATCACTTTAGAGCATGTATACAATGTTAGAGAATCCTTATTTCAAAGTTTTGTAATATATATTAATATTACTGACGAAATTTTCGTTCTTAGCATTTTGTATTAGGAAATGATAAATCGAGTTGATCGAAATACTGATATTTATCAGGTTTCATTATTCATGGCTCCCTGTGAGTATCAAATAATTAATGCATAAGTCAGACTAGCATAACTGCTCTAATAACAATCATACATATTCTTATATTTTTATCAAACTTACTCAAACTATGTGGTGATTTTCAGCCAGTGTTTTTTGGTAGTATATATATATATATATATATATATATATATATATATATAATATATATATATATATATATATATATATATATATATATATAAACAACATGATTACTTTATAGACTGAACAGTGAATGAACTGAATTTGAAAATTCTGTACAAATTATTCGGTTAATAATGGTAGACAGACTTGATGAACCGTTATCACAATTAAGATGTGAACTATAATAGGTGCTTTTGACAGAAACTGACAACTTAAAATGTAGATAAATGAACTTTCCACTTTATCTGATAATAATAGTAAATTTCTATTATTGAAGTCAGTTTAACTATAGGACCATGTGTGTTAAATTTTTTACTGAAACTAACAATATTATGAGAGTTTCTATTTTAATTTTAGTTCCCAAATTGTTATTAGATGAAATCTGATATACGGAACACCTTCAGTATTTGACGTATTCATGTTTGATAATCAATTATCTTCAAGTTTTCTCTTTAAATTTCAGAAAAGTTGTACATCGATGTGATTCATTAACACAAAAAGAATTGCATTCATTAATGCTTAGCTCTCAAGCACTGATCAATTGTTCAATCAGTGAAGGCCAGTCTTTGGCTGTAATGGAGGTATGTATGCGTACATAGTTGTATAACTATTCAAACTACTATTTTCATCTATTTATCAAGCGATTTTCTCCTTTGAAAGTGATGTCAAGGTTTGTAAATGAAAAACGCTATTAAACCTGTTTACTAATCGCGAAAAGATAAACAAACTTACAAATCATGTGAAATAAATAAATAAATAGGCATCTAGAATGTACAGCTCTCAGGTATCCTGTATCTTTATAAGCCCTGTCACATTTTCTGTGTAAATATGAGTTTGTTTAACCGAATATTATTGAAATAAGAACTATGGAATAATGACAGGCTTAGTGCTTAAATGTAGAGAATTAATGCATCTCTACCATTAAGACTAATTCTTAATATTTTCACTTGAACTGCTCAATGTTAAATTACAGCTATCTCAAAAAACGCTAATCAAGAAATCGATATGCACTGATAGGGCTAAAACTAGTAGACAAAGACCTCATAGACTGTTTTTTGATATTGATCAGACTACGCAGTCTTTTTACAGTCTACTTCTATAATAACTGTCACAACACTTAGGGATAGGTAGTGGTTGATCAATCACCTTAATTGACGAAAGTTTACAAACTCACCGATTTATTAGTTTTAGCAAATATCCTCAGCTGACCTATCATTGTGTCGAGTTGATAAGATGGCATTAATAAAGTCGTGAATGAAAATGCATTCGAAACAGTCACATAATATGAGCGAACTTATATTCGTCAAACATGACAAACTTTTTAACACTAATATCACTGATAAAATATGTCAATAAGATCGTTGTCCAATCTACCATGAATGATTAAACATTTGCAACAATAAACAAAGATCAGTCTAAAGATTAAATTGTAGAGAAAATCTGTGAAAAGAATAAGGAACTATAACCTCTGAATGAGATTAATCGCACGAGAATAGTAGGCAAACCACAGAAAAATTCTAAACAGTTTATCCAGAACTATGAGTATCAGAAAACTTTCAAGAAATTTGGACGGTTCATGTTTCGGGTCTTTTAAAAAGTCTATTTATTTTTATATCATAAAGTAACTAGTTCTAGGAAATTATAGAAATCGTCTTTTTTTTTATATACACAGGCTATGTCTCTTGGAGTTCCGGTCGTGGTGAGAGAAAATCCAGGTAACTGTGATCTTATCAAACATAGGAAAAATGGGTTGGTATTCAGAACATCCAAGGTAAGTATTAAGTGCAATTAGTATCTACGATAATCACTTATTTTCAAAGTGTTCATCCTAAGTGAAAAATCTTCTACCCTCATTAAATTACAAATCGTTGTGATGCCATAGTAGTATGATTGATTGTGAGAAAGACTAAATATTAAGGAAGACTGAAAGGAAAGGATGAATTCCAAATGCCAAGTAGTGTTAAAGCTGAAGACATACAGATGCAACTAGATGATTTGGACTTCGCAAATGACCTACATCCTCTATCACACACACACATCAACAAATGCAGGTGAAGACAACCAGTGTAGCAGCTGTCTCTGTATCAACAGGACTCAACATACACAAGTGAAAAACCAAAATACTCAAATACAACACACAGAACACCAACAAAACCAAACACACTTGATGGAGAAAATCGAGAACAGGTGGAAACTCCCACCTACCTGGACAGTATCGTCGATGAACAAGGAGGATCCGATCACACGTAAAGGCAAGGATTGGCAAACACAACAACAGGACTCCTACAGTCGAAGAACAAATGGGACTCAAAACAACTGTCAACCAATATCAAAGTCAGAATCTTCAATACGAACGTCAACACAGTCCTACTGTACGGAGCTGAAACTTGGACAACTACTACAACTATCGTCAAGAATGTACAAGTATTTATAAATACTTGTCCACTGAAGATGCTCAATGTTCGTTGGCCGGATTCCATCATCAACGGTCTATTGTGGGAGAGAACAAACCAGCTTCCAGCTGGAAAGGAAATTAGGAAAAGATGTTGGAGGTGGACAGGACACACATTGAGTAGATCGTTAAACTGCATCACGAGGCAAACGTTGACTTGGAATGTTGAAGGTAAACGGGAAGGAGGAAGACCAGGGAACACACTGCGTTGGGAATTGGAGTTAGACATGAAAATGATGAATAGCAGCTGGGAAGGATATTCCAGGATAGAGTTGGATGGAGAATGTTTGTGGGCGGCCTACGCTCGTCTATGAACTGTAACAGGCGTAAGTGAATATTTAGAGAATGAAATAAAAAAATTGTTCTCTACACGAACGGATTCTGAGCCATATCACCCAACCTCTTCAACTACCAGTTAAGATAATCGCTATGACTCCAACCTGGCGGTCTGCACCTCCTAGTGCGACCCAGTTCAGCAAACGGTGACTTCATGAACAGATATCATGTCTTGGTTTGAACGTGCGTAGTTTTCTCTCAACTTATTCCTCCTGTAGCCAACATTGTGAGTCGATATGTTTACTTATTAATGTAATTGTTCCCTCTTTTGGCGAATAAGTGCTCCAGATTTTTTCCTAACAGTGACGCTAAGTGATGTATAAATCTAGTATCTCAGCCAGAATCAACATAGCAACGAAGTATATGACATACCAAGTAATTATAGATGATTTAAAAAAACTAACTTCAATATTTAAATGTAGGACTTCCAGAAGCTATCTGCCATGGAAGGGATTTAAGACTTTCCCTGCAATAGGTAGTTTTTATTAGATTAATAGCAATGTTCTTCCTTCTCGTTAATTTAAAATGACAAACTTATGTATGATTCTTATTGTTTTAAATTATTTCCAATACCGCAACGACTCTATATACTAATTAATATGTATCAAGAAAATTCTTGTCACTGTACACAAAAGCGGTAAAATAATCCCAAACACTTCTATAAGTTTCAGACTATGTGGGATTAATCAGTGTTCTTCATCTTATTATGGAAACGGTGACAGCAATAATCGTCGATGGTTGATGATTCATCGCACTTATTTTATGAGACATGTACATCTACGAAGTGCTGATGTTACCGATTCTTAAACTAATTCTCATCACTGGCTCCAGGACAACACTGGACCATCATACACATTCCCGAATCTGTCAAATAATCAACCAGATACTTTATAGTGACCCGCTGATAACTGATCTCATAAATCTAACATAGTCTTTCGAAACATTACAAGTACGACTATTTGTAGTACATTGTGTGACATCCAATACTTGTGAATGATCTTTCTTTCCAAGCTGAACCATACAAATAGTTTCTTTATCACAGATCGATATTTCTAGACCAATAGCTTGATATTCTATTAAAAACGAAATCACATGAATAACTAGGATTTTCATCCAAGTAACGGAAATATTCAGCAACCCATCAATGACGCATGTGACACGGAATGCACTCCATTTGGACCAAGACTTTGAAACATACATATATATTTCAGTAAATTTAGAGAGTAATCGTTAGTTTTCAACAGGTGTTTAGTTAGAGTTACTTCATTTCATTAATTAATGGTCAAAAATATCGTGTACTACTAATAGTAAACAAACAACATAAAATTTATAACTTCTCATGGAAACCATACTTTAAAATCCTGCCACAAGTAAATTGGTTATAAGTTTTATCTTCTAACTCTGAATTTGTAAATCGGTAAGCGTATCTGCTTTTTTAAAATTGCTTAAACTTCCAACAACCATTTGAATTACTTCCAGCTATTCTACCATATCGCTTATCTAATTATGATAGGAAAAATGGTTGGTTGTGTTCCACTCCAGAAACTAATCCAATGTAAACATGTGGTCACAAATTTTAACAGTAGGATGAAGCTAGTCAACTTGTACAGAAATACCTAACTCAACATGGATGAGATCGTTTTGATTAATTATTAGCCTCGTATATGGTAAAATGTTTAAAAAGTATACATGATTATATCTATTTTACAAAGCTTCACTTTAGAGATACTTAATGAATTTTGGTTGTTAAATTCAATAGAATTTGTATTCATTTACACAAAATAAAGGGTCTGTTTTATGTATTCAGGAGCTGGGAGAATGTCTAACTTATCTAGAAGAAAATCCTGAAATAAAGAAACAACTAATTTTCGCAGGGGAAGAGTTTATGGGAGGCAAAGAATTCCAAAGAGGATATCAAGCGAAATTATATTCACACGTAATCCAACATATATATTCTAGTGTATAATCAACATATACAGCAGTCGAGTGCATAACAAACAATATCAGTGACATTTTTCTTTAAATTTCATTATAACTGATAACCAAAAGTATATAATTTCGATTACAAAGTAACAATAAAGCTTTTCACTGAAGTATTGTTCACTATAATATAAAATAATAAAATCTAATTTCGTCAATTTTAAACGTTAGGAAGGTGGGGGATTCGAATATGGTAAGATTCCAATAAGACAAAGATCACACTTTTCACCAGATCTATAGGGATATATAAATATTACTTTACATAAAAATAAGAACACAATAGTCCGAGTAAGGCTAACATCTATGTCGTACCTTTGTAGTTGTGCTACCAAACAAGTTTTATGGAATAAGACAGAATCAAATTTGTTCAGTACACATTAACACCTATGATATTCCTTTTAAACTAGGCATAAAAAGGATTGTTCATGAAGAACAGTATACGAGTACTAAGACAAATAACTTTTCTGGTTTTCCTAAGCTCTAATAGAGAGTAACTATTAGTTGGGCATTCAAGGAGCGTCTCAATTACTAACATGAACAAATCCACTAATAGTGAATTAAACTGAATGTTCAATTCTGACTAGCGAAATAAGAATTAAATCTAAATTTAGAAGAATGATAAGTGAGATCTTTCGGTAAACTCCACATAACCTATTGTTTATTTCGCGTAGATATCTACGAAACTGACTGATTTTAATAACCTGCGGTGGTAACTTACAAGCAGTAATTTCATAATTTCTTGGAGTTAAAAGCATTCCAAATACAATAATGATTGTCGCTTGAAAAAAATATTCTAAGCTTTATAAGCCTACAAAATCGAAGAAAATGCGTATACAACAATTCTCAATCATCACTGATAGTTGTTCCTTTAATGACAATCAAATTACAATTTCCAGTGTAATATAAAATAATTGCAAAATATATGCATTATTCCCGATAAGTGATTCTAAAGACGTTTTTAATTTTAGCTGTTTAAAAATTGCCGACAAAAACTTGGTACGCAAAACAAAACTGACTAAGTAGCACTTACAATTCCCATCACAAACTTAGTTCGGCAAGAATTCAAATCACATACATGTATATTATCGGCATTTTATTAGATCAAGCAGTTCCTATATATGTGAAGAAATATATCAGCATGAACAAATGAGAGGAGATAAGAACAAGAAGCCGCTGCCTTGATATATGAAATCAAAAGAAACAATGACGAACCAAATTACGGGCGAAGGCAGGAAATACGATCAAACAGATGTACAACATTCATTACTTGCACAATAAACAAAAAATACCTCATTTATACAACATACACAAGATAAATGTTCATTTAAACGAACGCAAATCAGAGTAAAATGATTAAAATATTCATATGAAAAAGTCAAAGATTTACAAGATTTCAAATCGAAACGAAGTCGTTTAGGCATACTGAAACTGCCTGCAGTAATTTTACATATAACTTGAAAGTGATGACAAAACGACCGGGATCAATAGTTTTGGAATATTAATATCAATATGAAATGCAAAGGGTTAAAGAAATTAAATATAGTAATGAATATGAGATGACTGATTTATTAAAATGTTGAACAGCAGTTCACGCCAATACATGATTGGCATTTATATGAATATAGTTTGATATATAATTAGGAAATAATTCGTTGTACAGCTAAAAAGTATTAACTGGACTGTTGTCCAATAAAAACTGATTACCGGATATTATGGTACATTTGAAAACCGGCAATCTACTGGAGCACCAAGATAATGAGGTATGTTGATAAAAGAATAGAAGATACACAAGCAAGATACATACATGAATCAATAACAATTTAAGTGAATTCTCTGTGGAAGGCTTGATAACCATAACATAGTATGTTCGTAGTTTATTTACAAAATTTAAAACGTTACTTAAGATGGAAAATATGACATTGGTTTAGATAAACTTAATGTATCAAAATAAGAATCTGTACAAAAATGCTTAGATAAACTGGGTCTGGGGATAGAGAACTCTGAGATTATTGAACGAGAATAAGATAATATGAAAACCCAGGTCACAAAAAAATCACCATTAACTGAAAATGATTGGATTTAATGTCAGAAAAGATTGTAAGTGATCCGTGTTTATGTATACATTGTAGTATCAAATAGTTGGATAATCTGCTTCATATTAAGATCAACATACAGCCCCGTTATTGTTTGTTGATGAACGATCGTTGTTTGAGTTCATTTTTTGTGAAGCACAACCCACTTTAGTTAGATCTAATTGAGCTTGCAAACTATCTCTGATGCGCAGTAGGGTTTGTTCGACATTGTCGAAATGACCAGTAACGACATCAGGATAAAAGAAAAAGCCTTCATTATTTTTATAATACTTTGAGGGATGTTTAGAGATTGTGCAAAACTTCTTTGTATTTAAGTAAGGCTGACTGGAAACCCGGTGATGCCATGGAGAAGTGTTACGTTTTTCTCGTTCATAAGATCGCGTTTCTTGCCACACACGTATCTCGTTATCGCGTTGTATGAAGTATTCCAATGACCCAGATAGATGAGTTGGATTATCTTCTGGATTCTTCTCGATATCATACGACGGAGCAACCGGACTGTTTGAAGACGCTGGATGTCCGGAGAATGAAGGAATAGGAGGAGGAGGTGGGGGCGGTGGAGTCTCTGTGGAAATCACCAAACCATACAGATGTTGAGAATCATCTAAGTTAAATGTTTTCTTATAGTAATGAGCCAGTCTATCAAAATGTACTTGTTTAGTAGAAACTGGTATATTAACTGAAGGCTTGTGATCTACAACTTCGGACCCAATACGATCCTACAAATACAAAAGCATACCATAAATTTTAAAAGATTCAACGTAAGATAACTAGGGTTCAATATGCTGAAAATCCTAAATAATTGTCAAAACAACTAAAGGAACACATAATCACTACAACTACAAAATTAAAGTAATTAATGAGTTTTATATGTGAAAAGTCTATAAATCAGTTAAATATCGTGTAAAACAAATGCCCTGGTATGGCCGAGAGTGGGGTGGGTTCGCCCTCCCTCTCGAAATACTCTCACACGGCCACGCGTATACAGCCTCTGCCAGGGAAGTCCTACTCACTGCCTTCTCGTGGCAGGGGTGTTGTTTACAAAAATGAGAGGACGAAAAGCGAATGTCCGGCGCTTTAACCGGATTCCAAACTAATGGTGCACATGGGCTCCAGTATCCTGCGGGAACAAATGGCGTATGAATCAATTTCCGGTCACCGGCTACCATGGGACTTCATCTCCTCACGATGCTCCACTGCCTTGTGGGTTGGACCATTAGGTCAAAGGCTCGGGGTGTGGCCCCCTAAGAAAACCACCTGCTTCGGTTTGTGCACCCGGGCAGCCCACACACAATTAATGAACTGAACTGTCTATGATCATGGAAACTAATTCTCTTGCTCCGACGAACATTCAAATGATTCAAATATTATTATTGCTATTGCTATAATAATAATAATAATAATAATAATAATAATAATAATAATAATAATAATATTATTATTATTATTATTATTATTATTATTATTATTATTATTGTTATTTACTACATCATTATTCACCCTCTTTTATTCCTACTCTGTCTATACTTATTTTTTGTTCGACTTATACAGCAGCTCGTCTTTGGTGGAAATTCGACTCTATCTAAACGTTCTTGAGTCACTGTCCGGTTGAAAATTGTATGCTACCACCGAATACGAGGACTGAAGCAGTTTTTCTAAAACCACCTGCACCATTCAAACTGGCTGCCTTCAACGTTCGCACATTTATGCAGGTTGGACAACAGATAGGACTGGCTATGTCTTTAGAAAGTCTTAATATTGATGTTTGTTGTCTATCCGAGACCCGTATTCAAGACTCTGGTGAAGTACTACAAATTCGATCTCCATCTGTCGCTCCAAAAAGCTTGTTTTACGTGCGCTTATCCGGGGACCCTGTGGCACTTTTGTCTGGTCTTGCAGGCGTTGGTGTCGCACTAAGCGCTAGAGCTGAGGCAGCACTAATCGATTGGATCCCCATTAACAGTCGGTCATGTGCTGTTAGACTAGAGAGTTCCATCAAAGTGAGAAGAAACCGGCGTGAGAAACGATGTCTTTTCGTCATCGCCTATGTTCCGACAGATTGCAGCCCGAATGCAATCAAGGATGAGTTTTACCACCAGTTATCTGTTCTTCTCCAGAAAGTGCGTTCGACAGATATTGTAGTACTAGCCGGAGACTTGAATGCTCAGGTTGGGTGTCTAGGCACAGAAGAGAGTCGTTTAGGTGGCCGATGGGGACTTGTTGGTCGCAGGACATATAACATGGACCGTCTACTGCAACTATGCACAGACCACAACCTGTTTCTGGCTAGCACTAACTTTCGGCACAGTCATCGCCGATGTGCCACCTGGCGTCCTCCTCTGCATCTCAAGCCTGGACTCAGATTGATCACATCGCGATCAGCTACCGCTGGCGTGGTTGTGTACAAGACTGCCGCTCCTTTTGGAGTACCTATCTGGACTCTGACCATGCCTTGGTCTGCGCCAATCTTGCCTTACTTTTCAGTGGACAACGAAGTGACCGCCACCAACGGATTGATGTCAGCAAGTTGGTTGCAACTTCTGTTGGAAGTGAGTATCGAACCGAGCTAGCTTCTAGGCTAGCTACCATTCCACCGAAAAGTATAGATGAGCATTGGTTGCAATTGCACGATGCCATGAAAATGGCGGGTACAGTCAGTTGTGGGGTTTGCGAAACGTCCCGCTTATAAGCACTGGCTTTCTTCAGGTTCCTTACAACTCATTGAAGCCCGTCGGTCTACTCCGGGTGACCGTGAGTTTGACCACAAACGAAGGTTGTTATGTAGCGAAATTGGGCAAAGCTTGCGTAAGGACCGAGAAGCCTGGTGGTCGGAGCGTGCTAATGAGCTGGAAGCAGCAGCTGCATCTAGTAATTACCGGAAGCTCTTCCAACTCATCCGAGCCACTGGCAGAAAAAAGTCTGGTGTGAGCGAAACAATCTGCGAGGATGATGGAATGCCAATCACTAACATCCATCGACGTCTTGGACGATGAGCAGAATCCGTCGAAGGGCAGTTCAACTGGCCTGCTGCTCCGGCAGCATCGGTCAGACTGCCCTGCCCTCCATGGCCGGTGACGACTGATCCACCAAATGAGGCGGAAGTCCGCAAGGAACTCCAAATCTTGAAGCGTTACAAATCACCTGGCCCAGATGACTTACCTCCAACTCTTTTTAAAGATAGTGGTGACTCTCTGACTAAGGAATTGACGACATTGTTTACAAAGGTTTAGGAACTAGAGAGTGTACCAACGTCATGAAATGAGTCGATAGTTTTCCCTATCTTTAAAAAAGGTTCACGTCGTTCCTGTAAGTCTACTTCCGATTGCGTCCAAGCTATTGGCTTCCATCATACTTAGTAGGTTGTTCAAAACCCGAGAAAGACTGACTCGCGAGGAGCAGGCTGGTTTTCGTTCTGGTCAAATCAAATCTTCACCCTCCACCAAATGTTAGAACACCGTCATAGTTATCACAGGCCAACAATCGTAGTGTTCTTCTTAAATTCTCATTGTTTTGTGTGGCGCATATATATTTGGCGCACTCCTGTACCAATATATATGTGTTCATATAAATAGATAAATAGTTTTTAAAATTATTTCATAGTAAAAATAAAAGATAAGATTCATCCTTCTGTGTACCAAATAACAAGACCTCATAGTCACTTAATTGTCAATTGAGTTACTCCATTAAATATAAATTAATGCTAAATACTTAGTCGTTTTAATAAAACTAGATAACGTAATAACAATATGAAGTTTATCTAGTTGATCTGTGTTTCTAAATCGTATATACCTTAACAGGTTAATACGTATTCAAACTGTTCAAAACGCATTGCATTAATACATCACAGGTCTTTGTCTTCATGCTGCATAACCTACTTTTACTTGAAAACAGGAACCAAATAAACTCAAAAACAGTCAACTCACTTGATCGTACTCCTTAGCATGATCGATGTCATGTAAAAGATTTTCACGATTAATTGGTTTCGAAGAAGCAAACATGTTAACCTGGAAGCACGAATCAGAAAATTTGCTAGAATTCACATCTGGAGGTGAACTGTTCCTGAAAGGTAGCTTTTCTGAGGCTATACGAGAGTCCGAGAATGTAGATGTTGGTGAGCTGTGAGAAGAAAGCACTTTACCAGGAAATCTTATGAAAGGTTCAGGAGAACTACTAAGAGCACCTCTACTAACGGGATTTATAGAATCGACCCCGATATCTTCATCATCGTCATCATCTGGTGGCTCGCTTGGTGTTCGAGGTCCACGTTCACTTACTTTTGCATCAATAAAATCACGTTCGCTATCGAATTCACATCTTTTTGGTGTATTTGTGTAAGGTGATAGGGGTTGATTGTAATCATGAAGAACCTCAGGTTTCATGTTCAATGTTGTAATTTTTTGCAGTAATCCATCAGAACTTTTTACGTCAGAGGATGGCCTTGACTCATTGTGAAGATTTGGGAGCGTTATTAGAAGTCGGTCAGGACTAATCAGAGTTGGTGGGATTATAATTTCTAAATTATCAATATTACCGTTTGATTGATCTAGCGGCTCTTTCGTCTGCTTATGATTTCGTTCCGTAGCGGGTGTGAGGGCTGGCAGACCACGACGTCGACGATATTCAGAGAGGGAAACACGAACTTTACGTATCTCTTGCAATCGCAACTCTTCAGCTTGTTGCTTTACTGTAGCTTTCTTCGGAGGAAGCTACCAAGTAAGAGAAATGCATTAAAAATCTAATCAACTGAACATAAACAAAGTA